TTTCGGATTTATGCTTAAGCAAGAAGTATTACCAAGATTTTTTGAATTTTAACTTTCTCATACTTACATCTAGTTTGTCAGAGATATTAGATCCTTCAACAAGGCGATAAGCATGACGTGCTCGAACAAGTGCTTGCATTTTGACAATGGCTTGAACACATCGAAGAGTTCCCACAGCATGTCTTCGAACTAAATGTCCTCGTACAGCAGCTTGCAATATAGTTACATTCTTATGCTTCAATAGAGCTCTTTGAGCCTATCAGGACGAACCATCAGAGGAACGACATAAAATTTTTTATTTTCCGAAAGCTTTAGAGCATGAAATGGTCAGAACATGAAAGAAACGAAAAATTGAGGTACCAGAAATGCTCTTATTGCAGTCTGAATGACTAGAACTTCTTGTTCATCCACAGTGAGGTCAGTTTTACTATCATTCACTTTAGTAGTGATTGGCTCTGATAGCTTTGAGTCCGCTGAGGCTGAGGACCGAGGCTCCTCATCAGCCAACTGTAGAACAGATGCCTTCTCTTGAAGTGTAGAAACAGATTTTGTTTGTAGGTCAGCGTTCGCAGATTCTGTGCAGTCCTTGTTAGGAGATGGTGTTTCTGAAACTATCAAACGATGACTAGGAGATCTCTTGCGGAAACTCCATCTACGTTTATCACTTGAGCCCTTGATCTAGCAAATTTCTCAAATAAGTCACCAAAATAAAGCAATAAAGAAAATGGAAAGAGAAAAAGATGTATGTAAAAATCTTTTTTACAGTTAAGTAATATTTTTTTACAGTTAAGTAATCTTTGGCCAATTTCAATTAAGACACACACAGGACTCCCAACATCAAAGGATAGTGAAGCTGTGTGCTAGAATAAAGAAGGATATTTGTAGAAGGATTAAAACAATTGAAGTCATGCTCACCTCTATAGTCTAGGGGCAAAATTAATGATAAGTAAATTCACGAGCTATATTCAAAGCTCTGATGTTTTATGTGCTTACACACTACCAGCCTCTTTACCCGCACAAGGTAGTGGTAAGGTCTGCGTACACACTACCCTCCCCATACCCCCATTTGTGGGAATATACTGGGTATGTTGTTGTTGTATTCAAATCTCATTCTACCACTTATATATGAAAAGCTAAAATATCAGTTAGTCTCGTTGACCCATATGTAAAAGCTACTGACTAGTTAATCTAAAGGGAATGAGGACACGAAAGGTGAATGCAAGACTGCAGTTTCATGAGAATATATCACAGAAAACAGAGGTCTAATTGGGAGTCAGAAATCTCATCTCGCCTTAGAGGCCCGATCCACTTTCACTAGAGAAACATGGAATGCAAATAGTACAGAGCTTCAGGAATAAATTGTATTGCAACTTCTCGACAAAAGTTTCTTTGTAACAACATCGAACCTCCCCTTGCCGTTGAAGATTGAACAAAGATTGATACATAATCCAGAACACTAATATAAACCTCAGAATCCTGTTTGTCCATAATAGGCAGATACATTTAGGTTCCAAAACAAGGTACTAGTCGAATTCAAAATTAATCCTAGCATAATCATTTTGGTATTCACGTTCTTGTATCTGTGAACAAGTTGGAAAGTAGGAAAACTAAGCTCCTTTCATTAACTGAGGGCTTAATAAAACCAGATAAGCCTCACCATTGTGAAGACTTCCCAAGTCCTGATGCAGTTACGAAAAAGGGGAGTCCGGTGCACAAAACATCCCGCATTTACGCAGGGTCGGGGGCAGGGGCAGATTCAGAGCACTATGCATGGGTTCACCAAAACCCAGTAGTTTTTGCTCATACCTTGTATATATATTAAGAAATTCATTAAATATCTATAAATATTAGACTGTGAACCCAGTTGTTATTGTTTATTAACTTGAAATCGTTATAGGAACTCATAAACTTTAAAAATCCTGGATCCGTCTCTAGTCCGGGGAAGGGCCGCACACCTAGGGGTATATGAAGTAGACAGCGTACCCTAATGCAAACATTAGTGGTTGCTGCTTCTATAGCTCGAACCCGTGATTCCTGATGAAGTTACGAGTCGAATTCAAAAGTTACTTTGCCTAATCACCTACATTTGACAAACTCCCACCCCTGATGGAGATCCAGTGGTAAAGTATGAAACTTTCTAAAATATAATGCACAAAGAAAGCTCCTTTAGTCAAGTAGAAAGTATACTCAAAATAAAAAGTAATTATTAAAGATAAATCCCATCATTGTAAAATCGTCCCACACTTGTAGAACAATAGATAATGACGGATCGATCCAAGTTTTTATTCCACACCATTTTCTCTAAAAAAAAAACATTTCTTTAGGGGCAATAATAAAATCAGATAAGCCCCATCAATTTTAAAAGACTATAATTTGTAGAACAACAAACAAAACAGCAGAAAATATACAGAGCCTTCAGCTAGCATATAAGTTAACACCTAATTTGAGTTAAAAACACAATATTGCATATTCTTAGGCAAAAGGGGGTATATTTTTTTTACCTCAGAAGCTTCAAATTGATCATGGTCAATGGAGTCAGTGCCACAAGAAATGATCTTGAAGCAAGAAGCTGTTGGTTTTCCCATTTTTTTCTACAGTTTCTGTGTTACACCACAGTTCAAGTGTGTAGCCTTTCTTGCTCCAGTGTGTAGCAGTGTAAGGTAAATATTCGATTTGTTGGGAATTGTACCTGATTGATGGGAGAGATGATGGAGAAATAGAAAAGAAAAGTAAAAAATTAGAGACTTTTTTAAGAGCACGGACCTCAACATTCTCACCAAAAAAAAAGGTGTACTGAGATGTCTTTGGCATTTTGATGTGCATAGGACGGTTTAAACTTTACTAAGCTATTTATTGAAGGAAAAATAAGGTGAAACAACTTTGGACTAAACTTATGTTTGTTTAATAGTTTTTGCCATAAGATAAAAATAAGTAGCTTTGAAAATTATTTTAAAAATATTGAACAAACTTTTGTTTAAAAAATTATGACCCTTAATTTGAACTACAAACGTACGTTAAATAAAAGTGAGCCGTTAGGCATTTAAGCAATATTGGAGTTGCAGCTAGCAATGTATTTAAAGTTGAAGTTTTAAAAATTGTAAAAGTTATTGTTATATTTTGACAAAAAATTCATTTGAAAAAATTCTTTACTAAACCATTATTTCACATGAAATACATTTTCAAATTAATATTTAACATTTTACTTGAAGTTTAGTAAATAGCTTATCAAATTTATATTTGCAAATACCAAATTTAGTATTTTACATTCTGACTACTGAGATAGTGAGAAAAAATAATTTACTGCAATCAGTTAAATTATACAAAGAATTTACACAGCCTCTTCATTATTCAAACCCTAAATGGGAAATAGTGAGGGGGAACGAAGGCTAATTTCACCGAGGCCAATTCAGATTAAATTAAGGTACCTCGCCCAAATATACTGTTTAATAATTTCGTCGAGCCTAATTCCTTCGTTTACTATGAACTTTTATCTATTGTATATCTATGCTTTATAGTTTCTACGAAATCCAATACAATGTAATCTTTCTGTTTAAAAAAGAATGAAGTTATTTCTTTTTCAATTCAAAAATAATAATCCCTTTTCAATTCTAAACTTAGAAACGGAGGGAGTATAAGGTAGTTGAAAGATAAACTTGTTCAGAAAATTAGTGAGTCAAAGACTCAAAGGTCAAGAACTCGAAGTTCGAAAAAAGTGATCCAAAAAGATGTTATCCACAATTAATAAAATATGATCTTGGACTATTTTTTGTATTTGTATTCGCTTCAACCCTTTGCGAAACATTTGGCATTCTTTTTTCTGATTGATATTGCGTAGAGGGTACTTCTAATTTAATTTGTTTTGTATGTTATTGTACTTCTTGGTTACTTTTTTATATTATCTTTTCACAATCTATTGCAAGCTAAATTTAAGGGAGTTGGCGAATTTAAAATTCTGAGGATAATATTGGTGGTTCAATTTTGTTGAGAGGTCCGTTGTATAGTTTGGAATGTGAAATGTTAAGAAAGGCAATAATGAGAAAAAGATATTTCGTAATGCACCCTGAAAATGTCGGTAAGCAAGTATAATTAATTCAGAAGCTAAATTAATAATAGTTTATCTTGTATGCAAGTATAATTAATTAAGAAGATAAATTTCACCATAGACAGATATAGTTTATCTTGCTATAAGATATTAAAGAAACAGTCAAAAATCCATTAGATTTTGGATCAAATAGAAGGTTTTGATTGATTATAAAATAAGAAGCAACATGACATTGTATAACGCTCTAAAAATAGCCGATATAATGTATATTTTTTGTATATATATATACACATTTCTGTATTTTATATATAAAAAATATATACTTTTACGATTACTGAATATAAATAGTTTATATCGCGAGCTAAAAGGCATCTTTGCGTTTGATTATAGTTGGTATTATGTGCCCATAATCATTTATGTACCGGTTTTGGAACTCTTTAAAAGTGGTGGGATTAAGTAAAATAAAGTCAGAATTAATGTGTTGTGATTATAAAGCTGATTTAACAATATTGTTAACTTGTGAGAGAAAAATTTAAAGAACTTTTCTCAACTCCCTTCCCACAATTTTCTGTCTACTGGGGAATTTGGGGGTAAATTGTTTTAAGTGAGTCCTAAACTTAACAGGGGCTTATGAAATTCTGTCGTGCATCTATTGACCTCGAGTCGATTCATATATGATATATGGATAGTAAGAATTTAAAACAACAAAACATTACTTTTATATAAGATTGACACCTATGATGCAAATATGCAATTAGCAATATCCATGTATATTGATGTAAAATTTATAATCTGCTTATGCTTAACTAATTTTTTATAAAATTAGATTAGACAAGCTTAAATGTAGCGATGTAAAATTTATAATCCGGTGAGTTTAAATGATGTGGCAAGTTTAATTTTAAGCAAAAATAGTTAAAACTCAACCCAAATGGTCTATATCTTAGAACCAGACGACAAATAAAAAAACAAATGGCGTAAAGTACGACTCTAATTTTCATTATAGTCAGTGCAATAACATATGAATGGTCTATAACGTGAATGAATAAATACTATCCAAAAAGATACAAAGCTGTATAAATACAACATTTTAGCACTGTTTACAGTTTGAGACCAATAATATGTCTCACCACCACTAGGCTGATGCAGGTGTAGCTGAAGCCTTTGTTGCAGTGTTTGGTTTCGCTACAGAAAATTGTTGGATTTCACTAGACTGCTGACGCTGCATCTGAAAAATATTAGGCTTCACCGGCATCTGTTGCGCCCTACTACTATTAGGCAACCTTCCTTCTTTCTTAAGTTCCCCCATCGCAAACTTTAGACGATGGACTTCTGCAGTTAATGCCTTGTGCAGAGCTGCAATGCAAAGTCATAATTACTAGTTTCCATCCTCGTGGATGTGTGTATCAAAAAAGATATTAACATCCCTATTATAGGCATCCAGCCACAATCGAAGGATCATAGAGTTTCAGCAAGTACATACATTTTGAAAGAGTCTTTCAGAATGTCATAGTAACCGCGGGGTTAAGATGGATCTCTGGGCATACATGATTCAATAAACAAATAATGATCACAAGTTGTGATTCACAACTGATAAAGAGAGCAAGCAGTACACATACAGGACAGAGTGCGAGACTATGACCCGAGATGACTGATGATTCAGTCATGTCCAAACATAGACCTTATTCACCGGTCAGTATGGGGGAAACAATGGTGATTAAAGTAGTAAATGAACGAGCTAGACCTAAAATAACTTTTTGCATAGCCATTTAGAAGGACCTATGATTTTGCAATTGATGCAGACTTAGCTAAGACAGAACACAATTGAAACAAAGGATTCATAGAGATGAATGACGATACTAACTAGTTAGGATTAAGGCTTAATTGTTGTAATGTTGTTCAGGTAATAGGTAAAGCATGCTGATCCCGTCCCTGTCAGGGGAGGTGCCAATCATCTCTCCTCTCTACGAACACTAAGGCATAATTATTGTCATTACACTAACACATTAGATTTTGGTAGAATAAGTGTGACACTTAGTATGTTTTAGTTTTACGAAACCTCTAACTTACTTAAAAGACAGATTATTGACCAGCCAAGGAAATCACATTAGAACTAACATAGTGGGACATGACAACTGCTAGGGAGAAGGAAATGCTATCGAACATCAATCCAATGAACAAACAAAGCGGCTTGGCAGAAGGGTCAAGAAGAGAGAACGACAATATTTTCTGAGTTAAACATTTGAAACCTTATACACAGTTTATAGAGTATTCATACAGCCGACTTAATTAGTTAAAGACTGATCACAATTATTTTTGTTGTTTATAAGTATGATAAACTCAATAAATAAACAAAACAAGAAATATAAAGCATTTTGGAGATAAACATATAAAACACTCTGCATAATTTCAAGAACAGAACACTTCAGAGAATAGTCTATTTCAGCAACTTCTAACGTCACCTTGTGCTAGAGCATTATAGCCACCAAACAGTTGAATTCAATAAGCAAAGATATAAATAAAAGAAATGAAGAAGAAACCAAAGATCAAGTAAACCGTAATTGAAATAGTTTCTTTCTAAAAACAATCCTGTAATTGCACTCAATAAACACCTAAAATTGTGTAAATTTGCAACATCTATTCCTTCTGATTTATTTCTAAGAGTCCATATTTGCACAAAGAAAACAATAATTATAACCAAATGAATATCTAATATGTAAACTGTTCCTGGAAAAAGCTATTTAATTGCACAAATTGACTAAATCTTTAATGATTTTCAGCAAGATCATCAAATCTATTTGGCCACCATCAACACCCATAACAATTAAAATAAAACTAAGTATCTTAAAATCAAGGGATAGGAAAGCTTCAATTTTTCGATTTGGAATAAAGAAAAAGCAAAAGATATAGAAACCTGTACCAAAAAAAAAAAGAATCTCTTTCTCGATTTCTTCAATAAGAATCTTAGAATTGAAATATTGCCAATTTTATTTTTGTCTTAAAGAATTAAAATAAGAAATCTTTTCTTCAGTTAAAACTTACATGCAAAGTGCAATGCATATGGGTGCAAACTAGTTTATCTAAAGACTAACATAAAAGAAAATATAAGGAAAGAAACATACCATCTCTGAGTTGTGCTTGTTGTTCCATGGCTTGAAGGCGAAATCTCAACTCATTGTTCAAACTTGTAAGCTCAGTAAAATCTTTCTGCAATGAGATATATCAAAGCCAATTACCTCGAAATAAAACCAAGTTCGTAAAAGAAGCACCAAAGAGATCTATAAGATTTTAAATTAGAACCTGTAGAATGGTCACTTGTGTGGACAAAGTGGTTGTCTCTGTTTGAAGAGTCTGAACCTTATGTTCCAATTCTGAAATATAACACAATTTACGTTCCTTGGATCGAGCAGCTGACTGACGGTTGGCCAGTATCCTGAGAGAAGAAAATATTATGAATTCCAAAAATGTATTTTTGACATTAGGCCCTCTTTTGTAGGCTCGTAGAGATGATTTAACCTCGGGGCTTTAGAGAGGGTTACATTTAGGAAAAGAATCAATCAGCAATTCAGCTCCATACCTTTTGGCACGTTTAGGATCTGAAACTACAATCTCTGCTAGTCTTTCATCAGCCATAATCTTTCTCATCTCAGCTTCACTAAATTCACCATTGCCTAAGTCGAAATTGATCTTGTCTGAGTTATCATTTCCAGAACTACTTGATGAAAGCTTCCCCGGACAGTTTACCAGGGAAGTTGGTAATTTTGGTGACTCATCACCGTAGTGAAAACTTCCAACAGCACTATCCATTGAAAGACTCCTAAAATGTCGGGTGGAGCGAGTAATATCTGCATCAGCACTCCTCTTGATACTAGTTCCTTTCGAGACACTTTCTGCTTTTTTATTGCTGTTGTTGCCACCAGTTAACTTTGTGAGACTGGAAATGCTATCCTTAACTTTATCCTCAGTAATAGAAGAGTTCAATGCCTCCATGTTTTCCAGATTCATGTACGAAGACAACTTGTCCACGACCTCTCCCCCTGATTTCCTTCGCAAGGGATCTCCGAGCAGCGTTGCTCCATCCAAAACTCCCAGGCCACTTATGGCCACTAACTGAGGTGAAGACTTAATCATAGCTGAAAGTCCCAACGGAACATCACTATTAGAGCGACGATGCCCTTTCTTAGGTGGACGACTATCACTACATCGAAATGTGTTTTCCCTTGTGAAAGAGGAGACAAAAGGTGGAGCTCGAGAACTAACATCAACTTCCTCCATCGATGTGTCCTTCAAACTAGAGTTGGCTGATGCCAAAGATGACTCGCTATGAGGGAACGGGCTCAATGGGGGAAGGCCATTGTTTGAGAAAATACTCGGTTGAGATAAAGACCTTGTATGAGAAGCTCCCACACCAAAATTATGGCTAATGTGTGGCTTAGAATTAGGCTGAGCCATCAGAATCAAGTAATACAATAGTAAAACAACCAACTCGGAAACAACTCGATCGAAATCCTCTCCTAAGTTTGAAAACACTATCGGATTTAACTCCGTTATGGGGCTAGTACGTCGAGCAGCTTCAAATTTTGCAGTTCTAAATTAGTATATCTTATGATCAAAGAACTTCACCACTTTCCATCAGATTATAATACTCACTCTCACCTGCACAAAACAGGCCTAGTACTTGAAAACCCCTAAAGCCTTCGGCCTGCTTGCTCTTAAGAGCAATTCAATTACGAAAATTTACTAAACCCAAATTCATGCCAACAACTGTTTTTCATCACAGACAAATAGCTGAACAAGATAAGAAAGACAAAGTACAAGATTCAATAACTTACAATAAGGAAAAAAAATGTAGTACCTGGATTTTGTTCATTCAGAAGCTACTCCCCAACGTTATGACACAACATCGTTAATAAAGTGAAAGGTCAAAAAATAATTGGAACATGGTAAGCAGAATTTTTCCCGCTGAAAATGGCGGTGATTACGGTTGAATTATAAAGAAAGACAAGAAGTTAAAAGACAAAAAACTTTGGATTGCATAAAATGACAGGGGTGGGTGGGGGGTCGAGGTGGGAGAAGATGTTCTCTGTTCCTTTCGCTATCTGAGTAAGTGCAGGCACGAAGTTATGCGAAAGGGACAACAAGAGATTTTCTTGTCTGACTTTGGATTCATATAGGAAAGTCCGAATACTTCAATTTCATTTGCATTTCAGCAATCGCCCTCTATTCAATGCCGGCCTCAACTCACAAAGTTGTTCTAATTACATTTGCGCAATCGGGGAAAGGAAGAGAGAAAGAGAAAATTGAGAATTGAGTCTGAAAATTTTTAGAGTATTTTTTTGGGGAAATGTCCGAACTTTTGGAAGTACTCTAGAGCATACTTCTTGTGGGAAAATGTTGTCATTTTTCGGTTCTTATGAGTTAAACTAAGTTAATTTTACTCAATATTTTAAAATTTATTCTCTTATCATTCTGATACTTAGACACTTGTAATTCCTACATAAAGAAATAGCGGGATGTTTTCGTGATATAACTCTGTTTTAGCTTGATTGTTTAATAAATATTTGTTGACTTTAAAAAAAAGGATAGCGGGATTTGGAGCGTAAAAGTCGACGTATTTAATTTTATGATTCTCTAACTGAATCTCTCTGCATACGAGATCGCGATGTGCACGATCAGCTGTCTGTGTACAATGTACACGTACATACGATATTACTTCTAGCATGATTTAGGTCATCTTACTTCCGAATTATGTAAAGAGTAAGACTAGACAAAGATTTTTGTCTGACGTTATTTTGTGTATTGTCATAGTTGTTCCTGAATTTAAATTTTTAAATAAATAAACAAGAATATCACACATGATATTTGAACTTATGATCTAGAGCAATTTCGCTATATAGTAGAGAAATCCTATATGTTAAGAGAATTCAACAACTTATATACTAAAATTTGTCTATGCCCTATTTGTACAATATGATCTCCACCTTTGATTGTGAAAACTCATCGTGTATTTGACTAGTTGTCTGCTGACTGTCAACGTACACCAACACTCATTACTTATCCTTGAATAATCTTGATAGATTAAACCACTTTGAATCCGTGATACTATTAGAAGTCGATTCTCCATCGACAATGAAACACATGATAACCAAAGATGTGATAGTATGTAATTGCTTTCTACATATCCTCCCAAATTTGTAGATATCTTATCGAATGAATAATGTTAGAAGCATTACTTGATGGTGATGTAGCGGTTTGTCCCATGCTTTGCCCAGTTGTCCTTAAGATCAACTGGATTTGATAGATCGTAGCCTTCAGCTGCCAGGCGGCTAAGCAGCTTGGTGAATGCACTCCCACTCATTTTCCGACCACCAATTCTAGCATGTCGCTTGTTAGGAAGCGTTGGTAATGGATACATTGACAAATTGTTTGTACAACATGAAGATTGCCAACCTCCATTTCCCCATTTGTAGCAAGGCCTTAAAACTCCAGTGCAGGAACAAACAGGGACTGGCATGGTTGATTCGTCAAAAGAAACCTGGTTGAGCCCCAGGTCCTGATCCTTCCAATCCGTCTTTGTCACACCCAACTGCCTATTAACATCATCATTTCCACCACCCATCTCTTGGGCGCCATTCCACTCCTGCGATTCGTCAAGCATTGACTTGTTAAGGTCTTCACCTTCCTTTTTCACTTTCTTTGATGGCTTTGAAGTCTTTTTAGAAGATGTCACTAGCTTTGCCTCCTTGGATCTTTTGTTCCTACGGGATTTTGTGGGCTCCGGAGCAGCTGGTGACTGTATGGATGACTCGTTCATGTGCATATCGCTGTGGTTAAATGTAGGTTCTCCCAACTGTGGCTGATGATGTACATGCTGTTGTGGATGGTGCATGTGTTTCAGTTCGCGTGCAATTTGACATCCGGGCGGACAAGGAGACATGTTACCACTGTTCATTGAGTTCTCTTGATACTGAAGAGTGGCAGTGGCATTGTCCCGCTCCATTATGGCACTATTTCGTTCTGCTATAGCCGAATCTCGTTGCAAGATGGCCATGTCTCGCTCTGCCAAGGTAGCCCTTTTTTCAGAAAGAGCCAAGTTCCTCTCTTGAATAGCAGCATCTCTTTCGGCCATGATAGCCATTATCTGCTTCATTGATGGCTGATGCTGCAAAAACCACTGAAGTGCAGAAAAACGCAGCGTATATCACCAGAGCAAATGTTGGTAATAAAAGACTTCATTTTACAGCATAATCTACTGTTCAGATTAAAGGTTCTGTGAAACATCTTTTGTACTAGAAATATCCTAAGTCAAGAAACTAGACTTGAGCATAATTAACTATGACTGCTACAACTCACCTGGCCCTGAGGTGGTTTATGCCTTCCATTCTCATGATGGCCACTGTCGTCCATATCATATGCGTCGTATAAATTGCCCAAATCAGTTTAGGTCTTTAATGCAAGAGTGACATATACTCATGTTGGAGAGACAGCCAGCTGAATTCCAACTCCTGTCACCAAAATTTTGGAAATCACACACGTCACTTCTTTGTGGAGGATACACTAAGAGTGACATAGTATTGAATAGCAAAATCACACCTGAGCAGTAAGTATCAGCAGCTAAAACCCATGTCTTCAGAATGTTCTTAATGAAATAAAAAGCCAAGATGGGAAACAGAAGAGTAGCCCGAAAAAGAAAAAAAAAACAGCAGCAAATCAATCCATGCCCTTTCAGAAAGCAATTACATATTCAACAATGATAGACTTACAAGCAGTTTCAACTCTGCAGTCAGTAACTCAAGGCTGCATCACAAATAGCATAAAAGATGAACAGTCGTCATCGGCTCCAAGAGCTTTAAGAGAGAACTAAGTCAGGCACAAGCAAATAGCAATTGAAAAAACAGAGATCATCGAAAACAGAACACAAACTGCATGCGTATGTGAAGGTAGAGTACCATACACCACACTTAAAATTCAAGTTTTTCAAGCGATTCTTCAAGTGAAAAATGGCATACTCTTCAAAATTATAGACATAATTCACCACTTTATCCAAGTTGTCGTACACCTAGCACAGTTTACTCACAAGAAACCTGAAAGTCCTCAAAGAACTTTGGTCTTAACAACAAGAATATCAGGAAAAAAAGGACTAGGATATAAGTCTTTTTAAGACCAAGAATCCGCTGTTTTAGCTTTGAAACTTGAGGATAATGGGAAGCCCTTCTAACCTTTCTCCACTTAAATGCTGGACTTCGTTAAGTAGCCAGGTTTCAAACTCGTGATGTGCGCCTACCACACATTCACGATATACTACTACCTTAGCCGTTGAACAAAGCCCTGAGGTGTAAAAGGACCAATATATAATTAAAAGCACAAAATGAAGTAAGATATAATTAGAAGCACAAAGCAAGTATCTATATATTAATATAAAGCAGGGCCTAACATAGGTGATGTGGCATCTCTTACAAACTAGAAATTACATTTATCTTTTTTCTCATTTTTTTGATTTTTTTCTCTTACTTTTTTTATTTATCTCATCATACAAACCCTTACAGATCCTACGTACCCTTATTGTAAGAACGTAATGGTTACGGAAACGAAACAACAAACGTACGGTTTCTTGAAGAAAAATAAAAAGGAAGCCAAAGCTTTCTTACATTCAAACCGTTTCATTTATTACTTGAAAATGGTTAAGTAGCAAAAACTCAAAAGTTTGTAGCGTTCACACATCTTAAATTTTTTTCATATATGCTTTCACATAGTATCCAATATTGCGAGAATTTGATGCATATACTGGAACCAAGATATCTTCATAGATATTGCTTCTCCCGACATTCACACTTCAGAAGCCAGATTCTCTCTTCCTATTTTTTTTTTCTTTTTTCCGTCACGACAACGTCTATTATTACCTCTTTAGAAAACCTATGATTCAAAGAATCAGCCAGAGAGGCTGAATTTTCACGCCATCGTAACCGGCCAAAGATATATTTGCTCGAGGATTACCATTGCGCTTCCATATCTTATACATATTGGAAGTCGTAATTTTCCCAGCAAAGAAAACTATCAAAGTGGTAAACTTATCTCCATATATAAAATAGCACATTCTGCGAAGAACAACAAGTTGATGAAGACTATACCGCCATGTGGACCATCGCCAAGTCTAAACAAACTGTTGGAACGATGCCTTTTAGGTTAATATGTAATGTCTTTTAGGATCTCTTCCTTATGTTTCTTCTTCTATAATGTATGATATTTGTAGGGCGAATAGCAACATAGATGGAAAGATTACAAGAGATAAAGTTGAAGAGGTAAGACTATCATAGTATTAACATTTATTTGTGAAGAACATTTAAATATTAAAAGAAAGGTGAGAAGACTTCACATAATTTTTATTAACTTTGATTGAGAGGGCTATTCCTCGATATCAATGGTATCATAAAAATAAAAAAAAAAAATATATATATATATATATATGATATGTTTTTATTTATTTATTTGAATTTGCTTTTCTATTCTATTTTTTCAAATTTACTTTTTTCTTATACATTTGATTTGTAATTTTTTCCTTATAACATCTATATTTGTTAAGATATTTTTTCTACAGACCTTTCTAACATGCTTATTCGTACTTTATGATGTTTTTCAGCTAATTAATTATTTAAATCACGCAAGATATATGTATAATATTATGAGGAAGTTGACATTTGTCTCAAATGGGAATTTTTTTGTTTGGTAAGATTACTAACAATGAAGAGGATGAAAGTTGAGAAGAAGAAGAAGGTGATGGAGATGTCATATGTATATAGAATGAATGTGTGCATTTATATGAAATAGTATAGTGTTTCCAGAATTTTGTTATAAAGGCAAGTTAGGAGGAGAAAAAAAGAGAGGGTTTATCTTAATATTTGGGGAAGTAACAAGTTAGGGGGGGAGAGAGAAAAAAAAGAAGGAAAGAGAAAGAGAAATATTTCTACTTTTTTCACCTAATCTGTAAAAACTTTTGGTTTTGTGGCTTTTTTTTTAATTCTTAAAATTTCCACACTTTATCTTTAATTTTTGAATATTAAGGATCAAACAACTGTGGTTAATTGAGGGGAATAGACAAGTGATAAAACTCTTTTTTCTTTTTTCTTTTTGCTCAAACATCACTAATTAGTTTGGTTCTTTCTTCCTTTACCTAAAGTAGATTTAAAGTCGCGTATGAAGGGCTTGTGAATTTGCAAAGCCTTTTGACATACACCATGAAAAACTACTTAGAACTTTTCACTAATCATGAGACAATAGTGCTTAACTAAGGGAAGTATGCTTTTTCTGATAATATTTGAAGAGACGGACCCTACTCGGTACTCTCTCTTAATCTATAAATTTGTATTGTTAATATTTTATCAAAATTATAAACTGATATTACCCCTTAATATACTCTTCTTTTTAAAAAAAAAATAATTTTTTCACTTTGTTCATCTCTTCTCTCCAATTTTTTAAAATATAGTATATTTTATCAAAATTATGAAGTGATATTACCTTTTTATTTTTTTAAAAATTTTTAAATTTTTTTCACTCTGTTCATCTCTTCTCTCCAATTTTTTAATATATATATATATATATATATATATATATATATATACATACATTCCTTTGGAGAAAAGAAGTGTTTTAGTTGAGATTAGAGACCAACTGTTTTAGAAGATTTATTACTATGGTATGATGAAGTGGAAAGAAATAAAGAAAGAGGAAAAGAAATAAATATTGTAAAATTGATTATTCGAAGAGAGTTGAAGCTATTTAAAAAAATATTGATTTATAAAATTAGTAATAAAATTATAATAGATTTTTCCAAGAATTCACTAATTTATTTTTCCAAGTTGACTAGTTTAAAAAATAAAATAAAAACACACATTCCCCGACAGGTTCCATAAAATTTTCTGATTTCAGTTGAGAAAAATGTTTATTCAGTCTAGTTTCTTCAGTTTCGGATCTCAAGTACAATAATTCTAGTGCTACAGATGTTTCAGTAATAATTCAAAATCACTTTTTAAAATGAAGAAGTGCTTAATGAACAGCATTAACAAAAAAAAAAACTAATCTTTTTAGATAAATCACACGAATAGGCGATGCAATTCAGCAAGAATTCAACTATTAGTATATTCGAAAAACAAGTTCCTGACAAACAGATTACAACCCACTTCAGATAAACTAAGACCCAAAATTCAAAGCAAGTCAATGACACAGAACAATCCAAATTTAAGTGCAAAATTAAATCATAAAGAAAATGGAGAATCCCATAAAACCTGCAGTCTCAAATCATCCGTAGGTAAAATAACATATATCAACAGTTCACAAAAGAAAGAAAAAGAACGGTATAAGTTTTAATTAAAAAGTTAAAGGATGCAAATAGAGCTTACCGAGCAGAACTCTGAGGACATAAGAGGGAAAAGTGAAAGAGAAAAGGGTCAAAGCCTTGAGTTGAAGGAGATGAAATATCTCTATCTATAATGAAAGAAGAGTAGTTGAAAGAAAGAGAGCAAAGAGGAAGAAACACAAACGTACATACACATCACACTCTTTGCTTTTTTGGGGTTTTTGTATTTTCGTTTATTCTTTCTTTTTACCTGTCATTGTCACCATCCCCACACCCAATACATCCCACACCAGCATTCTTGTTTCCTTCGTTACTCTTTTCAGATAGTTACTGTACTGCTCCACTATATCTATAATCAGCATATATGTGCATATGTACACTCATATCAAAAATTGAATTTTTTTACAACGTGCCAATTTAAATACTCCATATGTTACTCCATCAATTCCTATTACACTAGGCACGAATTAAAAAAAAAAAAAAAATTATTTTGTTAAACATATCATAACATTTGTATAAATTTATATTTTTTGAAACTTTATTAATACATCTTAATATTTGTATGATTATAAAGGTTTCTTATCAAATGTAAAATAGGGCTATTAAATTAAATTGTCTTCAAATTCTGAAAGGGAATCATTTTCATTTAAAACAAACTGAAAATAAAATCAGCTAAATATCAATTGAAGCGGAGGAAGTAGTAATGAAATTATTTTTATATAATTAACTATAATTAGTTTGAGAGTATAACAACACAACAAATTCAGTTTAATCTCATATGTGTTACACAACTTTATTCTTATTCTATAAAGACAGAGAGGTTGTTTCCGATTTGGGACATCCAATAAAATTGGAACGATACAGATAAGATTAGTTTGAGAGTGAAATTGATTTATAAATATGCATTTCAGTTAAGTAAAGGGGGTAGTAATCTACTAAGCGCCATGGCCTAGTGGAGTGGAAGCTTTTGAGATTCGTGGTAAGAAGTTCTCTTACATGTCCTTTTCTCCGGATTTGGTCACCACGCTGAAAAACGTTCTCAAGAACGTGGCTTCATGGAACTGATTCCTAATACTGATTTTTTTCCATTTTTCCCAAATATTTACTCATTGTCTTTTTTTTTTTTTTAAAGATTGACATTATTTTCTTATTAGTCTGTTACAAAAAGATTGATATCTTTTAATATTTTTTTAATATAAAGTACTTATAGTCATATAAATGTTATGCCAGGTTTCAGATCACAAGTTTCAAAAGTTATAACCACACAAATATTATGACTTATTTAAGATCATATTTTTCAAAAGTCTTTCCTTCTTTATTAGAGTTTGTACCAAGTCAAACTAAAATAATATTTTTGGAACGGAGAGAGTGACATTTTTAACAGGTAGAATCATCTTCTGAAACTGTTGATTACTTTATTTTAACAGGTAGAATCATCTTCTGAAGTTGTTGATTACTTTATGAAAAAAGTGAATCTGTATCAAAAGCTAGCTGAGTAGTTGGTAATTTCTCCTTTTAAGATTCGGATTACCACGAGGCACGCAGTATATAACATACATCTCTTATTTTTTTCTTTAGCATAGCATCTCTCTTCTACGTCGATGATATGATCGGGGTTTATGGAGGACCTTTTTGTATTGTCAAGATAAGAATTTTATCCGTAAAACAATACAGTTGAATTTGTGCGTGGTTTATAGATAAGTGAATTAATTTGATCCTTAAATAATATAATAATTGAAGAAATACACAATACTTAGCCTTAGAATATAGATGAAATAGCAAAGATGATGATTCCGTGAACACGGTTCCCAAACACAGCAATGATGAGATCTAAAAGCAAGAAAGTGAAACTGTACAAAGTTTTATATAGAATATAGTACTCCCTCTATTTCAATTTATGTGAACATATTTTCTTTTTAGTCCGTGCCAAAAAGAATGATCATTTTCCTTATTTGGTAACAATTTACCTTTATGCAATGATTTATAGCCACACAAAATATTTATGTCTCATTTTACACCACAAGTTCAAAAGTCTTTTCTCTTTTCTTAAACTTCAAGCCCAATCAAATGGGTTCACATAAATTCAAACGGAGGGAGTATATGTTCTTGCTAGAAAATATGCGTCCCTTACAATGGTAATTGAGCTCACTATTTATAGCTATACCTAGAGAAAAAAGTCCTAAGATCATGTCTTCCTTTAATGCCAATTATGAGGGTCATTGATAAAGATGTAACGTTGAGTATAAATGTCAAATTCTCTGTAACGGACCGTCACTCTTAATGCTGTAGAATATTTCTTAGTAAATGCTACCGGGCGCAGAGCATTTAATGTACTTTTATGAACGTTATTCGTTCCGGTGACAAGCGCAGTGGCTGCGTTCGGCCCTCAACCATCCTATCTTGGATTTCATGTGTCCTCCTTTTAGTCAGCCACGTGTCGTGTCATATTTTACCATATACAGATAGTCCTCCTGCTTTCCGGTGACATAACTTTGTGTTACCGGAAAGGTAGTAGAAACACCTTTTTTGGCGGGAATTATTATAACTCCCTCTGAAGAGGTCTGATAGTTGATTAGACGCACGTCTCTCCACATTTAATGCCCCGAACACGCATTATCCCATGATTCAGTACAGTTTTTGTCGATTATCGAGGTAATCATAGCCACGAATTTAGCCGCCAAAATTTTACTTACACGCAACTTTTTTTTCCTTTGCGTTTCAACAATTGCTTGAGTTTTTGATTTGCATCTTTGTTTTCTATCATTTTTCAATTTTCTGCAAACACAAACTCTTTACCTTCTTCTTTTCCAATGACTTCTTCTTCCAAATGTGGTGGTTCTTCACATAATAAGAACAAAATCGAGGACTCCATTCCTCCAACAGTGGATTCCATCATCCCAAGGAGGCTCAGTACTTCGAAGGATTTTGAAGAGAATTTCTCTACTGATAACCCTCGTACATGGGCTGTTAGTAAGTACCCTTCTTTTATTCGTCCTTCCAGTATTCCTGCTGTCCTTTTCTCCGAATTTGGTCACCACGCTGAAAAACTTTCTCAAGAACGTGGCTTCGTTGAACTGATTCCTAATACTTATTTTTTTTCATTTTCCCCAAATATTTACTCATTGTCTTTAAAAAAGAAAAAGATTGACATTATTTTCTTATTAGTCTATTTAAAAAAGATTGATATCTTTTAATATTTTCCTAATATAAAATATTTATAGTCATATAAATGTTATGACAGGTTTCAGATCACAAGTTTCAAAAGTTATAGCCACACAAATATTATGACTTATTTAAGACCATATTTCTCAAAAGTCTTTCCTTCTTTATTAGAGTTTGTACCAAGTCAAACTAAAATAATATTTTTGGAAGGGAGAGAGTGACATTTTTAACAGGTAGTATCATCTTCTGAAGCTGTTGATTGCTTTATGAAAAAGTGAATCTGTATCAAAAGCTAGCTGAGTAGTTGGTAATTTCTCCTTTTAAGTTTCGGATTGCCATGAGGCACGCGGTATATAACATACATCTCTTTTTTTTTTCTTTAGCATAGCATTTCTCTTCTACGTCGATGATATGATCAGGGTTTATGGAGAACCTTTTTGTATTGTGAAGATAAGAGTTTTATCCGTAAAACAGTACAGTTGAATTTGTGTGTGGTTTTTAGACAAGTAAATTAATTTGATCCTGAAATAATATAATAATTGAAGAAATACACAATATTTAGCCTTAGAATGTAGATGAAATAGCAAAGATGATGATTCCGTGAATACGATTCCCGAACACAGCAATGATGAGATCTAAAAGCAAGAAAGTGAAATCGTACAAAGTTTTATATAGAATATAGTACTCCCTCTGTTTTAATTTATGTGAACTTATTTTCTTTTTAGTCCGTGCTAAAAAGAATGACCACTTTCCGTATTTGGTAACAATTTACCTTTATGCAATGATTTATAGCCACACAAAATATTTATGTCTCATTTTATACTACAAGTTCAAAAGTTTTTTCTCCTTTCTTAAACTTCATGCCCAATCAAATGGGTTCACATAAATTCAAACGGAGGGAGTATATGTTCTTGCCAGAAAATACGCGTCCCTTACAATGGTCATTGAGCTCACTATTTATAGCTATACCTGGAGAAAAAAGTCCTAAGATCATGTCTTCCTTTAATGCCAATTATGAGGGTCATTGATGAAGATGTAACGTTGAGTATAAATGTTAAATTCTCTGTAACGGACCGTCACTCTTAATGTTGTAGAATATTTCTTAGTAAATGCTACCGGGCGCAGAGCATTTAATATACTTTTATGAACGTTATTCGTTCCGATGACAAGCGCAGTGGCTGCGTTCGGCCCTCAACCATCCTATCTTGGATTTCACGTGTCCTCATTTTAGTCAGCCACGTGTCGTATCATATTTTACCATATACAGATAGTCCTCCTGCTTTCCGGTGACATAACTTTGTGTTACCGGAAAGTTGGTAGAAACACATTTTTGGCGAGAATTATTATAACTCCCTCTGAATGGGTCTGATAGTTGATTAGACGCACGTCTCTCCACATTTAATGCTCCGAACACGCATCATCCCATGATTCAGCACAGCTTTTGCCGATTATCGAGGTAATCATAGCCACGAATTTAGCCGCCAAAATTTTACTTATATGCAACTTTCTTTTCCTTTACGTTTCAACAATTGCTTGAGTTTTTGATTTGCATCCTTGTTTTCTATCATTTTCCAATTTTCTGCAAACACAAACTCTTTACCTTCTTCTTTTCCAATGACTTCTTCTTCCAAATGTGGTGGTTCTTCACATAATAAGAACAAAATTGAGGACTCCATTCCTCCAACAGTGGATTCCATCATCCCAAGGAGGCTTAGTACTTCGAAGGATTTTGAAGAGAATTTCTCTACCGATAACCCTCGTACATGGGCTGTTAGTAGGTACCCTTCTTTCATTCATCCTTCTAGTATTCATGCTGTGAAGGAGGTCTGCCGCTGCAATAAGTTGGAAATCATTGCTCATGATCTAACGGAGCGAGTGACCCTTCCCAAGGAAGGTTTTACATATTTTTTTTCATGTATCTCTTTACTTTGGGTGTGTTTTCTTTGAGCGGAGAGCTTGATTCCGTGATTGCAGAGTTTTGCCTTCGCTACCAGGTAAGTTTGGCACAGGTAAGTCCTTCAGTATGGAGGACGATCGCCTGTCT